TTTGAGAAGAGGGAATATATTAAAATTTTTACTTTCTAATTTTCTGAATTTGTAAATAATTCTGTTATGAGCATCACTATTCTTAATGTCATGGTTAAGTCTTATAAGTATTAGGGTCAGATCTAGATTTAAATCTGATAAGTACTGTTTATTAAGATATGTGTTGGGCAGTGCCTGTGGATCAGTGAGTAGGGCGCTGGCCCCATATACTGAGAGTGGTGGGTTCAAACCCAGCCTCAGCCAAACTGCGACAAAAAAATAGCTGGGCGTTGTGGTGGGCGCTGATAGTCCCAGCTATTCAGGAGGCTGAGGCAAGAGAATCGTCTAAGCCCAGGAGTTGGAGGTTGCCATGAGCTGTGATAGCACAGCACTCTACTGAGAGCGATAAAGTAAGACTCTGTCTCTAAAAAAAAAAAAAAAGATATGACTCTGTGACTTTTAGGAAAGCTTCTTAACCTCTCTAAGCTTCAGTTCCTGTTCTGCAAAATAGAAGTAATAATACATACTTTATTGTGTTAACTATAAAGGGGTTAAGTCTAAGATTCTCACATTTAATGCCTGGCTCACAAGGATCACTCCCTAATGGTAGCTACTATCATTAGTACTGCTGCTGCTGTCACTTATAGTAGCACCCTGGACACTGTCACAGAGTGATCACTGTTGAATGTTTAAATCATTCCACTTACCTTCCACCAATTTTTCAGTATACCTTCCAGGGCATTTCGTATTTCCACTATTTCAGTGGGCACACAATGGTCATCAGTTACTCTTTTAGAACTCTTAGATACCTCAACCAGAGCCTGATCTTTCCTTTAATTAAAGTAAAAACTGTTAGACTGGGTGCAATGCCTCACGCCTGTAATCCCAGCACTTTAGGAGGTTGAAACAGGAAGATCACTGAGGCCAGGAGTTCGAGACCAGTCTGAGCAACAAAAAGTAAAGAAAAGTAGCCATCCATTGTTTGGTGCACCTGTAGTCCCAGCTACCTGGGAGGCCGAGCACGAGAATTGCTAGAGCCCAGGAATTTGAGTTGCAGTAAACTATGATTGAGCCACTATATTCCAGCCTGGGCAAGAAAGCAAAACCCAGTCTCTGTAAATAAAAATAATAAAAATAAAGTTCTTGATCGTCAGCTCCGTGCCCATAGCTCAGCGGGTAGGGTGCTGGCCACATACACTGGGGCTGGCGGGTTTAAACCCCTCCCAGGCCTGCTAAACAACAATGGCAACTACAACAAAAAAATAGCCAGATGTTATGGTGGATGCTTATAGTCCCAGATACTGGGGAGGCTGAGGCGAGAGAATCGCTTAAGCCCAAGAGTTTGAGGTTGCTATGAACTGTGACACCACAGCACTCTACCTAGAGCAACATAGTAAGACTCTGTAGCAAAAAAAAAAAAAAGATTCTAGATCCTTCATTTTATACTAGAGAGGTTGCCCTGCATTGCCAGGGAAAATCATTAACCATTGTTAAATAAGAAATTCCTATTGCGAAACTATTTTACCATAAAGACATTTGCACTTTAACATTTATTGCAGCTCAGTTCGCTATCACCAAGATGTGAAACAACCTCAGTGCCCATCAACTCACATAAATAACGTGTGGTAGTGTGTACCATGGAATACTATTCAGCCATAAAGAAAGATGGAGACTTTACATCTTTTGTATTTACCTAGATGGATTTAGAGAACATCCTCCTAAGTAAAGTATCACAAGAATGGAAAAACAAGCATCTAATTTACTCAATACTAATATGAAACTAGTAGATAAACTACTATACACCCATACAAAAAAAAAAGCACAATTAATTCAAGTAGATGGGGAGGAGACAGAAGGAAAGGGAAGATTTGGTAAGCTCTCACCTAACTGGTGCAGTGCAGGGGGCTATGGCACACCCCCTGGGTAAAGGACTCAACTGCAACTTGGACTTTTACCTAACAAATGCAAATGATGTAACCTAATCATATGTACCCATATAGTAACCCCCACAAAAAAGATACTCCTATTGCTACTCACGCTGGAGCATCCTACATAGAATTGCTGCTTGAGGAACAGATACCTTTGTAATTTGAACTTGGAGTTCTTGTTAGAAATCATTGTTCTCTATATACCTAGTACCTTAATACAAATTAGCAGTACCATTAGCCTTCCTTATATTTCAGGGTCCCCAAAATAAATTTCACCTATGCCACATACGTGCTTATGCCCTGAAATTTTCAATAAAATGTCCTTTAACATCCATATATACAATTTCTTGTGATGCAGTTAGTACGAGAGAGAGATGTTACTTTATTTATTTATGTATATACTATTGCCAGTCTACCTAGAGATGGCATGGTCATACATTGGTCATAAAATGACCTTGTAATTTTTTAATTTATTGTTTGAGCCAGACCCATTTTGGGCGCTAACAGTCTCAGTAAAGTGCACCTGAATATTGTTCTATATCTGTCACGTGACAGTGTGTGAGGCTGGTGTGTTTGTTCAGTTTACAACTGAGGGAGCCTGTCATCATCATCAGTACTCATTCATTCAACTTGAGGATCTGTTTTAGGCACTAGAGATACAAATATAAATAAAACATGATTCCTGTTCTGGAAAATGTCACAGTTTGTTTGGGGAGAAACATACCTGAATACATAATTACATTTCAGAGTTGTATGTTCTATATAATAAATGTATTGAACAAAATGTTATAGTAATAGACAGGAGGGAACATTAAATTTGAGGGGGGTGTGGTAAGGTTTCAGACAGGAAGTGATATTTGAGCCAAGACTTGAAGAATGGATGGGAATTTGCCATTTTGAGAGAGGAGTGGGGGACAGGGAATTGCAGAGAAGGGAACAAACAGCCTACACAAGGGCCTAAAGGTAATCAGGGGTGTGGTAGGTAAGGGGAAAGTCTTCAGAGTGCCTGGAAAAAAGGCTGTGTAAAAGGAAGTTGACTTGAAATTAAGAGTTGGAATTTTATCTGTTGGCAGTGGTGAGATCAGGGAAGATTTTTAAATAAGGGCATAATCAGATTTGAGTTTGAAAACTCATAGAAGTTTGGAGCCAGAGGAAGACAGGTGGCAGATACCAGTTAAAAAACTGTTATTTTCCAAGCAAGAGATAAGGGTTTACACTGACAGCTGTGGGGGTAGAGAAGAGTTGCAAAATTTGAGAGTATTCTAAGATGTGAATAATTTTGTGATCCACATGATAGGGGACATGCTGACAGTAGAGGTATCTGGGGTCTGACTTAGGTCACTTGGTGTATTAACTGAGAATGACAGAGCTGAGGGGAAATGTATAAAGAAAAGCAGGGTTGTGCATTATTTTACATGGAGTTTTCATTTCACATAATGTAGGTTCAGTCTTTTCAGGAACATTCTAACAGGCACGTCTGGATCAAAATCTTTGGAAAGAGATAACTATAGTAATATTTTTGAGTTCTTACCATTTTTTTTTTAACTAAGAACTAAGCTTTTCAGAGGTTAACTGATCATGGTCTTAGGTAGATAGAACCAAAACATAAATTCCTAAGCTTCTTACCAATTGGTTCTTAACTGAAATGGCCATTTGAAAGAAAAAAATAAATCTCTTCGTTTCCACTATAATCATTTTACTGTTTCCCAGAATATCTTTACTTAAAAAAAAAAAAAAAAACTGGTATATGTACAAAATTCACCAATTTTTTACCCTAAGTTTCTGATCTTAATGTCATTTGGCTAATGCACAAATGAAGAGTCCTCAGGATCATAGCTAAGGAACCTTAAACCACTTACTTTTTGTAGCTAAACCTTAAAATTTAAAGGTCAGAGGTGGCCCCCGTGGTTCAAAGGAGTAGGGCGCCGGCCCCATATGCTGGAGGTGGCAGGTTCAAACCCAGCCCCAGCCAAAAACTGCAAAAAAAAAAATTTTAAAGATCAAGTTCTCAGTAAATATTTATTACTTAATAATATATGCTTGATCTAACTTCATTTGTTATACAGTTTCAGTGTAAGGAAGAATGAAGCTGGAATGTCCACTTCTTTGTAGGAATTTAAAAATAAGATGTATCCCCCCCCCATTTGAATGGTTGAACTATAGTCCTTTTTGAAATCTAGAGAATAGGCTCGGCGCCTGTGGCTCAAGTGGCTAAGGCGCCAGCCATGTACACCCAAGGTGGCGGGTTCGAATCCAGCCCAGGCCCGCCAAAAAACAATGATGGCTGCAACCAAAAAATAGCCGGGCGTTGTGGTGGGCGCCTGTGGTCCCAGCTACTTGGGAGGCGGAGGCAGGAGACTCGCTTGAGCCCAGGAGTTGGAGGTTGCTGTGAGCTGAGATGCCACGGCACTCTACCCAGGGGGACAGCTTGAGGCTCCTGTCTCAAAAAAAAAAAAAAAAAGAAATCTAGAGAATAAAGTAGGTAGTGCCTCAGAATCTGCTCTGACCCCAAATTTCAGGGATTATTTGTCATGGATTGAAAGTCCTGCATGGTTGTGAAGGACTTGGATAGACTTTGTGAACTGTTGTACATATCTAACTTTTTTCATGTTTTTAAAAAATAAACAAGTACCTCTTATCTATATGAAATTCTAGTTTTCACTGTGACTGTCTAGATCAGTGGTTCTCAACTTTTGCCGGGTTGAGAACCACTGATCTAGATTCTCAGTTTGGTTTTTTGGGCTGTGGTGTTTTTTCTTTACTTTGTTCTTGACTGCTCTGAAATGTAGTCGCCTGCTCTTTAAGGCAGCTGCAGTAGAGTGCGCCCAGAAGTGGTTATATTTCTATATTTAGTAAACCATAGGGTTTCGTGAAGCAGTTGCAGATTCCTTTGGGATAAAATTGTTTCTATAAATGTAATATTTTTAATGAAACTATTATTATCACCCTTTAGAAAAATATAGCAGGAAATATGTGTCGGTTTGTGGACAAGACAGAGGCACAAAATTTTTTTCCCTTAAGAGCTCACTGAGCGTTTTAAATAAAAATTAATCACATGACTCCTATTTTTATTCTCTTAATCTTGAATTGCAGAGCATTTACTCAAGTGTTTACCTTTGGTCCAACATTCCGAGCTGAAAATTCTCAGAGCCGAAGACACCTGGCAGAGTTTTATATGGTAGAAGCAGAGATTTCTTTTGTCAGAAGCCTTCAAGATCTCATGCAGGTAGGTACCCAAGTTTTAAAATATAAGGGATGAGGACTGGGCACGGTGGTTCGCGCCTGTAATGCTAGCACTTTGGGAGGCCAAGGCAGGTAGATTGCCTGAGCTCAGGAGTTCAAGACCAGCCTGAGCTAGAGCAAGACTCCATCTCTAAAAATAGTTGGGTGTTGTGGTAGGTGCCTATAGTCCTAGCTACTCAGGAGGCTGAGGCAAGAGGATCTCTTGATCCCAAGAGTTTAAGGTTGCTGTGAGCTATGACGCCAAGGCACTCTACCCAGGGTGACAATGTGAGACTCTGTCTCAAAAAAAAAAAAGGAAGGGGGGATGTAAATATCAGTTTCTGTGTATATTTTTACCTCAGACATCTATGAGCTCAGATATTTATAAAATGAAAAAGATGGAGGACTACTTAATTTAATAAACACTCACTGAATGCCTTTAGTGTAATAGTTTAAAGTTCAGATGTCAAACATTTAAGTTTATCTCCTACCTCTGTAATTAGCTTTGCTATCAAGTCAACCTAAGTTTCTTGATTTTTTGATTTCTCAAATGTAAAATGAGAATAATTATACTTATTGAGGGTTATTGTGAGGAGCAAATAAAATAATATATATAATATAAAGCCCCTAGTTTGGGGTCTGGAACATAAGCAGCTCAGTAAATAGTAGCTCTTATTCACTTGAAAAATAAAGAATCTGGGCTCGGCGCCTGTGGCTCAAGTGGCTAAGGCGCCAGCCCCATACACCTAAGGTGGTAGGTTTGAATGCAGCCCGGGCCCACCAAACAATGACGGCTACAACCAAAAACAATAGCCAGGTGTTGTGGCAGGCACCTGTGGTCCCAGCTACTCGGGAGGCTGAGGCAGGAGACTTGCTTGAGCCCAGGAGTTGGAGGTTGCTGTGAGCTGTGATGTCTCGGCACTCTACCCAGGGGGGACAGCTTGAGGCTCTGTCTCAAGAAAAGAAAAGAATCTGTAATAATTATATAAACAATTGTGTAGCTGTAGTAGAAAGCTTCCACAGGAGATGTCCAAGCACGGTTGGCAGGGCAAGGGCTAAGGCCAGAGAGATAGTTAGGAGTCAGATCATGAAAGGCCTCATATTTCAACACCGTGCTAAGGAGTTTGAACTTTATTCAAAGGGTTAAAGAAAAAAAGTTCTCAGTTTTAGAAGGCATAGTCAAAAAAAAAAAAAGACACGATCGAATCTATATTTTAGAAACATCTTTTAAGCAGCAATATGAAGAATGATTTAGAGGTAGATAAAAATAGGCTGCTCCAGAGCACCACAGTCTTGTTGGGAGGCTGTGGGCATAATCCAGACCAGCCCTGGAGTTGGATAGACCAGGATTTTTTAGTTTTACCATTTACTTGTTTTGTGACTATATTTCTCTGGGCCTCAATTTCCTCATATTTAAAGTAGGAATAAAAATTCCTGTTTCATAAGGTAGTTAAGAGGATCAGGGAGATAGTACATATAATGCACTTAGCATAATTAATTGCATTTAGTAAATACTCAGAAATTATTAATTGTAGGTATTATGAATTCTCTATCCAGTAGAATTTGGTTGCTATATTAGTTTGGATTTGTAATTACAGGATGTTTCGTAATTTTCATCAGCTCTCCTTCCTATTCATTTCTACAGCCTTCACTCAGGGAAGGCCCTATCTCCACTTAAAATATAAATACTTACATGACAAGTAGAGTAAACTTATCATTTATTACCCTGTATTAGGTTGGATTTTCTAGTAAACCAATTCTAAGGCAGAGCTTTGTGGGCAGGAGGATTACTGGGGAATGCTCTTGAGAATAACACCTGTAAGGACAGGAAGAAAGTAGCATTGGGAAGAGGGAAGAGTTGAACTATGCTGCTCATTTACAGTCTGTTCCTCAGCCTATTCTTTGAGGAACTTCAGAAGTGGAATGGTCCTTTACAGTTGTCCCATGACAGTGTAGGCGAGGAGGTAAGCCTTTGTGCCTCCCCCCATCAGCCAGTCATCAGGCTGGCTGCTGCAAAGGACGTACCTTGAGTAATCCTTGGACCTGAACAATTCCTTTAAGAGAGACTCCCTATAAACCATAATTGTTAGGATTCCTGGGTTGCTATATAGAGCACTTGGCCCTAAGAAGTATTCTGCCTATGCACTATAGCATCTGTTTCCATAACCCCTTAACTCCTCGCATTGGTTGTTCTAGAACAGTGTCCCCATGAGACATTTTTGATTGTCCATACTAGGGAGTGGATAGGAGGTCAGGGAGAAGGTTTGCTACTGGCTTGTAGTGGGTAAAGACAGGGATGCTGCTCAACAGCCTACAATGTACAGCCCTCCCCTCCCCAATAAAGGATTATCGGACCCAAAATGTCAGTAGTGCTGCTGTTGAATAACCCTGGATCACAGGGATTCAGGATCTGAGCTTCACAGAGAGTCAGTGTACATTTCTTAAGCAACTTTCAGTTGAACCTACCACCCAGTTATTTTACATAGGTACTCAGAGTATTATAAGAAATGAAACCACACTTTTTACCTCCTTGTTTTCTGTCATAACCCCATTTCCACCACCCCAACAAAGATAGCAAAGGCAATGTGTAAATTATTTTAGAATTTATTAAACATTTAAAATCTTTCTTTACCCTATGACAGGGTTGCAAAATAACTTTTGCAAAATAACTACCTATCCAGTAGCTTTAGAAAAGACAGGCCTGGGCAGCACCTGTGGCTCATGGGTAGGGCACCAACCCTATATACCTAGGGTGGCAGGTTCCAGCCTGGCCCCAGCCAGCTAAAACAGCAAAGACAACTGCAACAACAACAACAGCAATTTTAAAAAAAAAACCTGGGTGTTGTGGTGGAGACTTGTAGTCCCAGCTACTTGGGAGGCTGAGGCAAGAGAATCACTCGAGCCTAAGAGTTAGAGGTTGCTGTGAGCTGTGATGTTACAGCACTCTACTGAGGGCGACAAAGTGAGACTCTGTCTCAAAAAAGATAAATAAATAAATGACTTTTACTGTCTCAATTACAGTAGAACCTCCATAGTAAACCACCTCCTTAAGTTGACCTAATTTTTATGGACCAGACGTGCACAGTATGTATGTATCAGTAGGCCTAGTTCCTTACGTTGACCACCTCCATATGTTGACCAGTTTGTTACAGCTCACTGAGTGGTCAGCTTACAGAGGTTCTACTGTCTATTAGTGAAAACATTGAGAAATAGATAGGTTGAGCTACGTACTGTTTTAGTAAGTGAGAGCAGAATTCATTTCCACATTTTCACCTTTGCACTCGGTCAACAAATCCATAAAATTCTTTTACTCTGTTGTAAACATTTTCAGTGGAACATTTCAAATCTAATCTTAATGTTTGAAATCAGTAATTTCTTTATTCTATTTTCTCTTCTTCTATTCATTCTCTTTGTTTTTATTTCTGGATACCCTAACCAGTAGCTTTTTTAAGCTAGCTTCTTAAGCCTTGATGGTTAATATCCAGGAATAAGGTGAACCAGAAGAACACACATTTTATTCAGAGCATTACCATACTCTACCTTTGCTGGTGTTGTTTCACATATCCTCCGAGATAACTCTGAGACTAATGGGAAAGGGTTAGATCACCCCAGAGGGATGAATAAACTACCTATCCAGTAGCTTTAGAAAAGACAGGCCTAAGTCAGGAGGTAGCTTCAGTGACATTACTCCCTTAGAGTTGCATAATAGCTGTCTGGAACAGTTCTTTTTCACCTATTGTCTTGGCTTAATAGTCTTTTAAATTTATTTTTAAATGTACATACAGAAAAATTCTAAGCTTTGACAAATGTATGGATTTCTGTAACCATGACTACAATCAAGCTATAGAACAATTTGTTCGTTACAGAGTAACTCCCTCTTGTTGCTGCTTTGTATTCGAAATCTCCCACTGGCAACCACTGATCTATTCTTTATCTCTATAGGTAATCTTGTCCTTTCTAGAATGTCATACAAGTGTAAGTGGGATAATATAGTATGAAAAAATAATAATGTAGTATGTAGGCCTTTGCGATTGGCTTCTGTCACTTAGCATAATTGAGCTTCATTCACGTTCTGTGTATCAGTTGTTTGCTCCTTTCTGCTGGTGAGTAGTATTCCGTGATACAGACACATCACAGTTCATTTATCCATTCACCAGTTGAAGGACTTTTGGGTTATTTCCAGTTATTGAAAATAATGAACAAAGTCACTGTACATATTCATGAGCAGGTTTTGTATGGACATAAAGTTATCATTTCTCTTGGGTAAGTTCGTAGGAGTGAGATTACTAGGTCAGTGCTGGGTATGTAATTTCATGGGAAAGTAATCTGTTTGTAAACTGACTATACCATTTTGTATTCCCCCCAGCAATGTATGAAACTTTCACTTTTCCACTTCCTCACCAGTACTTACTATTGCTGTGTGTACGTTTGAGACAGGATCTTGCTTTTTTGGCTTGAGCTACAGTACAGTGGTATCGTCACAGCTCACTACAACCTCAAACTCCAGGGTCCAAGCAGTCCTCTTGCTTCAGCCTTCTGAGTAGCTGGGCACTACCATGCCTGGCTATTTTACAAACTTTTGTTGTTTTTTTTTTTTTGAGACACAGTCTAACCATGTTGCCCTTGATAGATTGCTGTACTGTCACAGCTCACAGTCACCTCAAACTCTTAGGTTCAAGCGATTCTCTTACCTCAGCCTCCCAAGTAGCTGGGATTACAGGCGCCTGCCACAACGCCCGGCTATTTTTTGTTGCAGTTGTCATTGTTGGTTAGCTGGCCGGGGCTGAGTTTGAACCTGCCACCTTCAGTGTATGTGGCTGACTCTGTAACCACTGTGCTACAGGTGCCAAGCCTTTACAAACTTTTCGTAGTGATAAGTCTTATGTCACTCAGCCAGGCTGGTCTTGACCCCCTGGCCTCAAGCCATCCTTCCACCTCACCCTCTCAAAACGCTAGATTACATGTGCCTAGCTGTGTCTGTGTGTGTGTGCATGCATGATGAAT